TAGTACAGCTTTAGTACTGGAAATGCTTCGTTTGGGGTCCTAGCTGGATTCTGCTGGGTTGGAGTGCAACTTTAGTACTGGAAATGCCTCGCTTCGAGTTTTGGCTCCTGGCTGGTTTTGCCATGTTTTCTTGCCATCTTCCGCAGATAGTGATTGAAAAGCCAAGCAGGAACATGCCAAGACTTCATGGCATATTGAGAATATCTTCCGTATGTCGAAACTCTTGTCCCGGCGATGTAATAACCTTGAAAAACCCCACTGCACTGAACATAGCCAACTAACGAATGTTGATTATTGAAAATCTAGTAGAGTAGATGGTGATTCTCAGTTCAGAGGTTGTTGCACAGGGACTGCGCATTGGACTTCCGTTGTACCGGAGACTCCCAACGGCCATAACCTGACCTAAGCAGAAGTCCTTACATTGCAGTAGGCTTCCCAAAGGTGTCGGAGCTTTCTCTGAGCGCTTCTGCCAGGAAGCCACGGTGCGCCGAAAGCGGCCAACGGGAATCTCAGCCAGCGTAGAGCCTAGCCTTCAGAGTAAGGACAGATTTGGCAGCTTGTATGGTTGATGGAGGCCTATATGCCCGGAGAAAAAATGTTGGGCTAGAGTTGAATCTGGAACATGCCAGGACTCGAGACCAGCTTCACTGAGTGCCAGGATCGAAATAAAGGGGTAGCGGGGTCGCTGCAAGGAGTACTTAGATCGAATGCCCAGATCTCTTCCAGGCAGCAAAACCAAGTGCGGGTAGAAGAGCATGCCTTTGTCTCCGATGCAACGCCGGTGCTCCACAACATGCTGCCGTGATGGCTTTGGCAAAGCTTGCTGCCAGGTCTCGATATCTCAACATGAGGAGGAAAAGCGGAGCAGTGGCCATTCCAAGGAACAGCCTGGGATTTTGACGGCTGGACATTTGAGCCTCGGGCTTGGTGTTTTGATCGGAGGTGCGGGCGTTCGGACCGTTCGGACCCTACTTACTAGAATCGTTAAAATCACCAATGCTCCGAGGCGCCGCAAAGCAGCGGCAAAGTCACGGCGAATGCTAGCCAGTGCACCCAACAGGCCTGAGCTCTCAGTGAACTTTGTACAAACTTCTCGAGCTGGAGCACTGTCGGCCAGACATCTAAGAAGTTGCAGCGGGCAAAAACACCTGTAGGACCTACGGAGCCCTCGGGTACAGTCGAGCAGTCGAAGATGCAAAGGATCAACTCTCTTGGCCCTCCCGCCCAATTACGAGGGATGCCCACATCGCACAAGGGGCCAACGAGGCTGGTGGCCCACTCTTGCGCATTGCCCGGATGAGAGACCCTAACAAAGACAATTAGATTCTGTAGAACCTGCAACGTCCCGACAAGCCCTTCCCCAAGAGCAGTGTCACATGCTTTGATGACCTGAAGCAGAAAGCCCTCCTTACGCCGACCGAAAGATTCCATGCCCCCAGAAACAGGGCCCCTCTTCTCACCCGGCCTGCGGCAAACAGGGGCGCTGGAAGCTCCTTCACACGCAACTTTCCGATGCCAAGAGATACAGTAAGGCGCGCAGAGTGCTCATCACTATGTTTCCCTCCGTGCAAGCCCATCGACGCCGGTACTCAAATGAATTTCTGGCTGCTGGGTGCCAGGATTCATTCTAGGATATGCGGCTGTGAAGTCACGGAATCACCACAGGGCCACAGCAGGGTTCCTTTGGGCAACAGTCTCGGAGGATGTGCCCGACAGTATCATTTCGGCCTTTTAGGCCAGTTTTCAGTCAATAAGTTCTCTGACTGCGTGGAAAGCGTTCGTCACAGTTTCTTATTCTTGCTGCAGACGAAGTTCTTCGACAGAAACTGCTGCGCCAGTCCGCACTATGTCGCCACAATGCTGCGCTCTTGCCGGCACCCTAAACCCTAAACCTCTAAACCCTAAAACCTTAACCGTCATGAACAGCGAAGTCTTGCATCCGAAGCCCCCGGCTCGAAACAAAAGTCTTCAGCGTCCACCCTGAAACCTAAACCCTTTAGGGTTTAGGGTTTAGGGTTTAGGGTTTAGAAGTTTAGGGTTTAGGGTTTAGGGTTTTAGGGGTTTATAGGGTTTAGGGGTCGAGGGTTAAGGGGTTTCAGGTTTATAGGGTTTAGGGGTTTTAGGGTTTAGGGTTGAGGTTTGAGGGTTTAGGGTTTAGGGTTTTAGGGTTTAGGGTTTAGGATTGAGCCAAAACCTCGGAGTTGCCCCCACCAGGACTCCAACGAGTCTTGGGTGTAGGGCTTTCGGGTTTTAGGGTTCAAGGTTTAGGGTTTCGGGGGTGCCTGGGAGTCAGGAAGCCGGTTAATTATTGCAGCAAGCTTGGAACAAAGTCTTACGCCAGAACCCCCAAGGACTTCGAGCACTGGGTCTCAAAGGCCGAGATACCACAGGCAAGCGCCCAGTTCTGCCTGCCAGGGCATTGAATGAATAATCACCATGGAGTCTGCTTCTTGGTATAGTGGGCTGTGGGTTGAATTCCCTAAACCCTAAACCCTAAACCCGGTTGAATCTGAAAGGTGCTTAGTAGGTGTTTGGGGGCCGAGGGGTGTCGGTATAGCAACGTTCGGATCCGCAGAAAGAGATGCGAAGCTGTTGGGTTTCAGCAGATGGCCTCGATGTTCCAGCGGTTCAGTTTGAAGAGTGCCGGATCGAGCTATTCGCATAATAACTACTCCCCTCCGCACTTTACGACAGAATCAAAGCACATGCTCGCCTCTTTTTTCAACTCCTGTGAGATTGCATTCTTGTTCGGGATGTGTGTGTTGTTCAACTTCCATAAAAACTTGGGCTTTAGGGTTTAGGGTTTAGGGTTTAGGGTTTAGGGTTTGGGCCAAAGGTTGCGAGCATCGTAGAAAGCCTCCGGGCACAAATCATCGCAACATCGACGATTGGAAGTGATGGCAGAAAGTATTTCTATGCCGACCTGTGAACACCACTGTTTACACTGGAATCTTGACCTAACATGGAGTCCTTATTGGTTCGAATCGGAATTTGGGGTATATCGAAGGTTGTTTTTAGTCTAATGCAATCAGGAACTGAAAGGAATAATAAAATCGGTGTATATAGATACATATATATATATATATACACACACACACACACATTTTGGTGCATATGTATATCTAACATTGTTCACTATTCAAGCTTGTCGACGAACCACGCTTACACCCTAAGCAACCAGGCACCGCTCTAACCCGACGGGCCAAGGGTTCCAGACAGCAAAGCCGTGTAGAGTTTAGGGGTTTAGGGTTTAGGGTTTAGGGTTATCTGCCCTCGCTAAGAATGCCCAGCCATGAATAAACACTCACATGAGTAGTAGAGAATGTCACGAGACCACGTCTTCTAAAACATGCAACTCGAATCTACCGTCTTACACAAGCTGGCGAACCTCAAACGCTTATCCAAAAAACGTGTGGGTTGAGCATTGTAGCTCAGTACCCATAAAATATATAAGTGGAGGGAGCATATCATGATATTAAAACGAATATTCAGTACTCGGGCCCATCGGGCACCCTCAGATTCACAGTCTGTCCTCGCATCTTTCCAGCGCCGCGTGCTGCGCGCGCAGCTCGCTGCGCTGATGCCGGGTCCTTACAGCATTTACCTTCTTACAGTCTTACAGGTAGTGTCCCCACAGAGCATAGCTACTTTAAACCACTGCGCTGAACCCTGAATTACTTCGATACTTGGACTATTTAGGTGGAGGAATGTGGACGTAGGATTTCTCGTAATTCGCGGTTGAAGGTCCTCAGCATGTGAGATTTAGGGCTTGGGATCCAGGCGTTTTAAAAGGTTCAGGGTTTAGGGTTTGGCTTCAGGATTGCTGTGTTTCGGGTTTTCGGATTTAGTCTACATGTAGGGTTTTGGATAAGTTCAGCTAAGGCTTAGGGTCAAGGTTTGGTGGTGTAGTCTTTTGGTGATGCCCCACTTCTTGAACTGTGTCTTCGCGTGTCCACACATCAAAATGTCGCCGAAGAAGGACAGCCCTTCACCTTGGTTTCATTGAACCTGTGTGTCGTCTACAAGGTGCTCAGCAAAGCCTTGAGAGTGAAGGTGCCTTTGACTCTTGTATCCAACCTTGTTGCAGATAACGATGATGTCGAAGAAGTCGCTCTCCGTGGTGTTGCCCCGCTTGATTTCGGAGCTAGGATTAGGGGGACCCTTGGGGATATAGCCCCTCTCAAAAAGGTCCCTTTTAAGAGGGCCAAAAGTAGGGTTCAGAAGGGGTACCCTTTAAGGGGTACCCTTAATAATACTTCCTATTGATAACATCAACCCCTAAACTCTGAACACTAACTCAAGCCTGAACCCTGCTACACTCCAGAATCACCTCTACCCGGACCCTAAACAATTTAGGGTTTAGGGTTCAGGGTCTTTTATTCTGCGGACATGATAAGAAAACCCTAAAGCCTAAACTGCACCTCCTCCTGTCTGACCGAGGTGCTCCTCATCCTCTTCCGAAGAGGATGAGCTTTTCTCTCCCACGTCGAAGTGTTCAACCTATGGGTTTTGGGATGTAGGTTTTAGGGCGAGGGTTTGCCTAAACCCCCAAATAACGGCCAGACACCTATGAAAGGCGATTATTCTACATACTTGCGGGGTCCAGGTAGGGGTTTACTTTAGCCGAATTTCGAACCGAGGGAGCGTTGAAGCACGCAGGGGCTATCCAGATAATATAGGGGCATGAATAACTGGGATAGGGTTTTGGGGTATATTCTACTATAATTATAATAAGGAACCCCAAAATAGTATTGGCAATGACATATTAGGCCCCTATATTCCTCCTGAATGTTGAAGCCTCAGCCCCTCTGGAGGACCTCTTTAGAGTACTGAGCTGTGCTTGTGACAATGGTCCTACTGTTTTAGGGTCTAGATTCCACTGCTTCATTTCCTGATCTAAGGGCTTAAATGACATATATATATATATATACATATATATATATATAGCAAGAACTGAACTCCATTCTAATTATGGTCCAAACCCTAAACCCTAAACTCCTGAACCCGAAGCCGTAAACCCTAAACTCCTAAATCCGACGCCCTAAACCCTAAACTCCTAATTCCGAAGCCCTAAACCATAAACTCCTAAACTTCTAAACTCCTAAACCCGAAGCCCTAAACTCCTAAACCCTCAGCCCTGGACTCCTAAACCGGAAGCCTTAAACCCCTACTTTAGAGGGCTGGTGGTTCTGGAGCTTCACGGGATCGATGGACTTGCCTGGCGGTTGAAACCCTAAACCCTAAACCCTAAACCCCTAAACCCTAAACCCTAAACCCTAGACCCTAAACCCCCAATCCTAAACCCTACACCCTACACCCTAAACCCCCAACCCTAAACCCTAACATTGGGTTTGAGGCTTCGGGTGCCTCAGTGTCAGTGAAGAGATACGTACATTAGGGTTTAGGGTTTAGGGTTTAAGGCTTAGGGGCTTTTGGGTTTACGGTTTAGGGTTTAGGGTCTAAGGTTTAGGGTTTTAGGGTTTGGGTTTTGGGTTTAAGGATTATAATATAAGGTTTTAAGATTTAGGGTTCAGGGTTTGAGGTCTGGGGTTTAAGGCTTAAGGTTTAGGGTTTAAGGTCTAGGGTTTAAGGTTTAGGGTTTAAGGTTTAGAGTTTTGGGTTTACGCTTTAGGGTTTAGGTTTGGAGGCTTAGGGTTCAGAGTGTAAGGTTTAGAGTTTTGGGTTTGCGGTTTAGGGTTTAGGCTTTAAGGCTTATAGGGTTCAGGGTGTAAGGTTTAGGGTTTAGGGTTTAAGGTTTAGTTTAGGGCCTAGGGTAGTCCGAACAATAGGGGCCGTGAAAACAGGGTTTTGGGGCCAGGCTTCTATGCTGCTACCCGGTTTGGCGGCTGCGACGTCGATGGCGGAGTGGTTGTCG